GGTATTCAACCCTGCGGTCATTAGTCCCCACTTTGGTCAGCTCCACGTTCCAGGGCCCGACTACCTGTCCGACCCCATGCACCCCCGATGGTTCGTTCCTGGAGGCTCCTTTGCACGAGAAAGGAGAAGAGGCCGTGCTTGTGTCAACAACAACCTGGGTGGGAAACCAGTAGGCTCTCCCATCAGCGTGCCGGTACCAGAACGGGATGCATAGCTGCTCGGCCATTTCTTCCACCACCGGGAGGACAATGAAGTTGAGGGCATGCATTATGCTTTCTTCCGAGGCGACGAGCAGGTGATTGCGCTCCCTAAAAAAGGTCGATAGCCGCTTCTCCGTGTTGTCCAGCCCGTTGATGAAGGCCCCCAAATCCTCTCCAAAATGTGGCCACGGCTCCAATTGGACATGGGTGCTGGAGAAGAAGCCGCTATCTTCTTGCACTGCCTGGTCAACTGGCACATCTGGTAGGCAGCTTCCCTGAGAGAAAACTCACCCATGACTATAGTTCGCCACCCTCAAAGCCCTAATAAGTGTATAGAGACGTAACTTCGAATTAATGCTATACAATTCAGAGTAAAAGTCGCGGGAAAAGTTAATAAATCATGAGAGAAAAGTTAATAACTCGTAAACAGGAAGCGCAGATCATCCATGGTGAGCCGGTTCCGTCGATTGTTCCTCCCCCCACTCTCTCCAAATGCCGACGAAACCATTTGCTTCTTTTGTTCCTGTGCAAATAGAACACAGTCACAGTGATCTTGATGTCTACAGAGAGAGAGAGAGAGAGAGAGAGAGAGCTTTTTGGTACCTGCAAAGCTAGGATCCGGTCCTCAATGGTTTTCTTCACAGTGAACCTCGTGACGTGAACGTCCCGGGTCTGTCCGATGCGATGAGCTCGATCGATGGCCTGATCCTCCACCGTGGGATTCCACCACACGTCGAGAAGAAGGACATGGCACGCAGCTACCATGTTGAGGCCCAAGCTTCCAACTTTAAGGCCCATGAGCATCACAGACACCTCCAAGAGAAAACCAAAAAAGAAAAAAGAGAGATTAGAATATGGAGAAACAGATGCTACGAGTGTACCTCGGGCTTTTCGTTGAATTCGCAAACTGCTGCGTCCCGCTCCATGACCGACATTGTGCCGTCGAGCCTTCTGAATTCCAAGCCGGCCTTTTCCAGACGAGGCTCGACCAGATCAAGCAAACTTGTCCACTGCGAGAAGACAAGAGCTTTCTCGGTAACAGCTTTCTTCCCGGCTGCTGCAGGACTCGTCACGGGAAGATTCATCAGGCGCTCCATGACGGCATTGATCTTTGAGGACGACTCATATCCTCCGTTGGAATCCAAGGACATGAAGCTAGACAGCAAAGAGCTCTCTAGTGTGCAAGAGCAGCCTGGAGCGGGACACTTGACCGCCAATTCCTCGCTTGTCAGCAATTTCTCTGAGATGCACTGGGAGCAAAAGACGTGACCACAGCAGCTAAGAAAAGGCTGTTCGGGAGCATCCTGACAGTGTCAAACTAAACGTCAGTAACGAAACAACTGCGTTTACCACTTACTTCACATATTGTGCATATGGATACGTTTTCCTTTGCATCGATGTTTGACTCTTCATCTTCGATTTTTGACTCTTTATCTTCCGGAACAAGGGACCGATGGCAGCATGCTTGTCTCAGGCGCAGGAGCAAAACCATGATGTTCGCGTAGTTTTTTTGAACAGTCCCACGTCGTTGGTAGCTCTGGAACAAAAGCAAAATAAAAAGTTTAGAACTCAGGAATGAACATAATACCTGAAACTTATCGCGTGAGCGCTGCTCCAAACTGTCGTAGAACTCGCGTTCCTCTTTGCTGAAATCCGCCTGTAGCATGGTCACATGTTTTTCAGGTAGCTGGAGAATGGGCTTTCCGTCAATGACAGTTTCTGTAACATCAAAACTTTGGCCCCTGCACTCTTAAGTCAAAAGATTGAGAACTTGCCTTTTGTTCGACGAAGCATAATCACCTGGAGTATCATCTGCAGCTTTGCATATCCTGTGCTCGGATCTCGGGAGATTGGTTCTTTCACCTTTATCTTGAAGGTTGAGTATGAATCCAGCGGGTCGAAGCGCAAGAATCGAAAGTAGCTGAAGAGGTCGTCGATGGTATTCTGAAGTGGTGTACCCGACAAACACCATCGTCTCTCGGCTTTCAGTCCCCAGCAAGCGTACGCTGCTAGTGTTTTTGCATTTTTTATCGTCTGTGCCTCGTCCAACACCACTCGAAACCATTTGACTTCGGCTAGAGGTCCTGCCCCACGAGTCGGGGTCCTTTTCTTCGTCTTCTTATTTGAAAATGCTTGCGAACAGCTGCTGCCATAGTCTGCATACGTTTCCTCATCTGCTTCTATCTCCTCATCTGGCTTAGGCACCTCATTTGTTACAATTGAGTACGTGGTTAGCACAACGTCATATTTGGCTAACTCGTAGGGACACCTCTTCCTGTTACCGCCGTGATAAATATGTGTTGAAAGCCTTGCCGCCGCTGTAACTTTTTCCTCGATCTCATGATACCACTGTCTCAAAACGCTTGTCGGGCATACGACAAGAGTGCCACCCCTTCTTTTTGGCTCCGGCTTCTGCATAAGCTCCGGTTTGATCTCAGGTTTAATCTCAGGTTTAATGGCTTGTGTTTCCGGATTGAGCAGGTGAATTGGCGACCGAGCTTTGAGAATAAGAGCTATCGTAGACACTGTTTTGCCAAGACCCTAGAGACAACGACAAAGAGATCGTTCAACCAATATGACATACAAAAGGCTCACCTGGTCATCTGCTAGAAAGCCACCAGAACAATTTCCACGCTCCTCGCTCTTCACCATCCAAGCTAAAGCTATTCTCTACAAAGATCGCTTTAAACCCGTGAAACATAGAAGATTTTGAAGTATACCTGATGTTTCAAAAGATTGATAGTCATCATTCCCTCATCTAGAGTGGCCTCTTCGTTTGTATCAGGAGTGATCATTCTCTGTGGGAAAAGAAAATGTAAACATCCAAATAGCAGTCAGTGCAAGTGTACCTCCAAGATCCGGCGAAGACATTTGTCTACGTGCACCGGTTGAGCAGCTTGATTTGGAGTTGTGTTTGTGCTCGTGTTGTGAACTGGTTCTTCCTTCTTTGGAGTTGCTTGACTCAAAGGCTCCTTCTTTGGGCCTGCATGGACATACGAACCCGACAACGACGGCCGATCAAACCTTCTACCAGTTGGCAAAACTTCTTCCTTGTTTGGAGGAGCTGTCCAGCGGCAAGACGAAGTTGCTATGCTGGCTTGACCATTCCGGCGAACCACGGGCACCGGTTGAGCAGGCTGATTTGGAGTTGTGTTTGTGCTCGTGTTCTGAACTGGTTCTTCCTTCTTCTTTGGGCCTGCATGGACAGACGAACCCGACGAAGCCGGCTGGTCAAACCTTCTGCCCATCAGCAAAACTTCTTCCATCTTTGGAGCAACTCCCCAGCCGTAAGACGAAGTTGCTCCATTCCAGGCAGTTGTTTGAGCATAGCTCCCCGGAGGCTCTTCCTTCTTTACACCCGGACCCCGCCATCCCGGTTCTGAACCCGACGATGCCGGCTTACCAAACCTTCTGTCCATTGGCAAAACCTCTTCCATCTTTGGAGCAACTATCCAGCCGTAAGACGATGTTGCTGCATTCCAGGCAGCTGTTTGAGCATAGCTCCCGGGAGGCTCTTTCTTCTTTACACCCGTACCACGCCATCCCGGTTCTTCCTTCACTGCGACTGTCTCCCGACGCCCTCGAGGTGTGAAGCTCAATGGCAGCTTGCGCTTCTCACCTAGTATAGACGTCTCCCCATTACTCTCCTCATCACTGATATCAATGACTTCCGATCTAGCGCCCTTGCCATGAGGCCACCACGACCGCTTGCATTCCGGAGTCTTCAAGGTCAAATCATCTGCTTCATGAGTGCGGGTTTCAATTGCTCCAACAGCTTTGTTCTTTGAATTGCCACTGTTAACTTGCACCTGGTTAGCAGCCGTCCCTGGTTTACTTTCGCGACCCGTGCTCCGCTTCTCGCTTACGATCCACAGTTCATCGTCCTCTTCATCACGAGGGGGAAAAGAACGCCTTTCGCCACCTCTACTTGTACCAACAACCTGTAGAACATCAGTTAGACAAACAGTTAACGACGTAAGAGAAAAGAAAAAAAAGTTACTAACATTGTCAGGAGTTTTGAGATCATCGCATCCAGTCGTATCTGCGTCGACGAAGCGCGAGTTCGTATCTTGAGGCGATGCCTTCTCTGTAACAGATGTATCAGCTTGAGTCGAAGTCGTCCTCACGAAACTCTCTCCAGGTGGAGCAGCGTCGGCAGTCACTCTCCCATGAACGTCCCTTATGTCGCTCCAAGTGATGGCCGAGTGGACCTTAAGCCCACTCTTGCGTAGATTCTCGGCACCACCTTCTTCTCTATCGACCAGGATCACCACGTCCGAGACCTTGAGCCCAGCACCACTGAGAAGCTCCACAGTTTCGGCCACCGGAGCCCCGATAGTGAGTAGATCATCGATCACTAAGCAGGTTTGGCCAGTCTCAAAGGAACCATCAATGCCTCTAGAGTCCGTCACCTCCCTTCTTCTCATCACCATTGGTACCCTGTAAACGAGTGCGAAGCACACTGCGATCGGCCCGGCCGTGTGTGACGCAGCGCAAACGATATCGAACGTCGCACGCTCGGCTACGGCAGACCATAGCGCAGCGATAACCCGGTGTAGCAAATCAGGGTACGAGCAAATCACTCCAAGATCGATGTCGATCGGCGGGTGACTGGCGCTGTCGAGCTTACCGAACTTAAGCGCCTGCGCCTTGACGAGCGCCACGATCAGCGCCTCCGCCTCCCCTCGCATCGCCCAAAACCACCGTAGAACCCTAGAATTTTTTTCGAGAAAGTATTTTGGGCGGGAAAATTTCGAAGGAGCAAAAAATCCCTTCAATCAAGGAACCCTAAACATTTCCATGGCAAGAAAGAGGCGAAAGCGCCTGGGCTTCTCCATCCTGTTGCTCGGATCTGGCGTGATCTTCACAGCATTGGCGGCATTCTTCTTCCTTTCCGCCACTCCAGCAAGTAAGCGCCTAGATCTTGCAGGAGAAACAGGGGTTTGCCAACGAGATAGGTACCCGCAATCGATCGATCTTCGCCCCGATCAGCTTACAGTGCTCATGAATGGCTTCTCCGAGGCCAGAATCCACATCCTGGAGCAGCACGCACAGGCGTACTCCGCCTCGCCTGTGGTGGACGCCGTCTACATTCTTTGGGGCAACGCGTCCACGCCAGACCAGGTGCTGCTCAACGCCAATCTCGAGAGCTTGGGTGCGCCGATTTACCTCGTCCGCCAGCCTTCCTCCAGCCTCAACAATAGATTTCTTCCAAGGAAGGAGATTTCCACGCAGGCGGTCTTGGTTTGTGACGATGATATCAGCGTGGACCTATCCAGCCTCAAGTTCGCTTTCCAAGTGTGGTCCGAGAATCAAGACAGGATAGTGGGCCTCTTCCCGCGGTCTCACTCTTTCCAGCTGGGTACAAAGTCATGGATCTACACCAAGAGCTCAATCCGGTACTCGATACTCCTGACGAAGTTCATGATCTTGGCGACCGAGAACCTTTACTTGTACTCTTGCTCCATGCCGGCTGGTGTCAAGGAGTACGTGGATGATGCTATCAACTGCGAAGACATCGCTATGAACTTCCTGGTTTCAAGCCGTAGCAAGAAGGGTCCGCTGCTGGTGGAGGGCAGTCCCAGGGACTGGGGCGATCCCAGGAACTCAAACTTGGGATTGGTTAGCGAGGCTTTGAGTGCCAGGAGCGACCATAGAAAGGATAGGGGCGAATGCATCACTGCCTTCCATCGGCTGTGGGATGGAATGGAGCTAAGGTACAGCTATCTCAAGGCGGTGTCCGACGTGCGAGAACGAGCAATGTGTGACCAGGCGGGGACATTGATGGAGTGTGACCGGGTCGGGGTGGAAGTTACGTAGATCGTGTGGCACTCAAAACGCTCCTCGTCTGGAACAAGCCAACACACGTAAGCTTTCTGCATAGAAAGTTTCACTTCTTTCTTTCAGGGACTGACTGCGTGACTTCGATGTTATGCCAGGTGGTCGAGTTTCAAGCTCGTCCTGTTTCCGCCACAGACGTGCACTGTGAAGCAGGTTGACAGAGCTGGAAAAAGTGAGTCGATGGTGAGTCTTTGTTACTCTTGCGTGTTGTCTTAACTTTGGTTCCTCTTGGATACAGTTCCGAGAAAGCAAGAACGAGACGAGCAGCAAAGAAAATTAGTGCCGCAAAATGCAAGCTAAAAGCAATTGATCCCCCAGGAAAGGAGCTTATGAAATCTGGACGACAACCATATCAGTCCCGTGGCGACTGCTTTTCCGAGGGTCGAGAACCTCCATGAAAAACTCGCCTTCTAATTCTTGGAAACCACACGAGCGAGGTCCCCGAGCAATGTAAGCCTCTAGAAAATCTAGGCATATTTCCGAGAGCTTTATCTCGGGGATTCTCTTGTCGTTCCTGACAAACTGCATTAACTTCCAGGCTCGAGTTTTCGCGCGGCTGCCAGATCCCATCCGACGCAAAGATCAGAAACTCGTCCCCCTCGCCAACTTCTACCTCCTTGATCTCCGGGACAGCAACAATCATCTGTTCTTCAGCCGAGACTTCTCTGTTGTCCTTGAAGATAAAGTCGCCCAGGCTCTGGAGAGATTGTAAACACCTCGGACATTCATCACGTCTCCACCACAGTGATCCTCCTGCTCTCCGACTCCAGCTCTAGCTTATGATCTCTGGACAGCTAGGAAAAGAGCACGAGAAGGAAGAAACAATAGACTCACCGCACGAAGCTTGACTGTGAGCTCCTCGCTAAAATCCGAGAGCACATCAACGTGCGTCTTGAGCACGCATGTCTCAGGCCCGACCTGTATAAACATCACAAAACTTGGAATCAGTGATAAAGAAAGAAAGAAGGAGAAAACGAACTCACAGCATCGGCAGGTTTGAGAAGCTCACGACGTCCGCCATGCGCTCCATGAGCTTCACGGCCCTTTCTCCATACGCCAACTTTTGGGCTACAAGAGAAGAAGCTCCAGGAGGATTTGGAGGAAGCTCCGCCCTGTTGGATCGATCCACCACGTAGATGCTTGCGACCGCCACCTTGCTCTCTAGCGATCGGTGAGAGGCTCCGAACGCGGCACCGGGGGACCAGAGCGCGGCAGAGACCTGGCGGAGCAAATCAGGGTAGGAGACGATCACCCGGAGATCGATGTAGATTGGCGACATGATGCAGCTCTGTACGTTTTCGAAGAGCAGCTGTTGGACCTGAACAGAAGGACATGCAAGAAAAGAACTCACAAAAGTATATAGATACCGTGAAGAGTTGGCTGGACGATCGCCACGACCTCGAGTTCCTTCCCCGAATCACATTCCTAGAACATTTCGTCTCAGTTAGAGAACAAACAGAGAACAAAAGACGAACCTGACAACGAACCTGACATTGTCGAGATCGCTTCCTGCTCTCGATCGAAGATACGCAGAACCAATCTGCCGTGAGGACCCTGGATTTGAGCTGGAATCCTAGCCTCGAGCAGAGCTCCCTTGTCTCCAATCGCAGCCACCTTGGAGAATTTGGGGAGTGCCAGGGTGTTGATCAGCGGCTGGTCTGTGCGGAACGACATCGGATGGAGCTCCGGCATTCCAACCAGCACAACAAGAGGAGTAGACCAACATTTCGAGCTGGAGGGTTCCTGGTGCTGGATTTCTTGTACACGTTCCAATCCAAGTTGGAGGTTTGCATGGAGGTTTGGAGCAACAACATTACAGCTTAATTGGTTCATATTGTGCTGCAGCTGGTTGTGGTAGTGGGATGTCCCAGTTGATCTGGTACATTATTTCATTTCACTTGCATTATAATAGATTGATGGAATTTTTTTTTTGTTTTTTTTCCTGCCAAAGAGAAAGTTGAACATTTTGTCATTTTGCCACTAAGCAAATATGACAAAACAAGCTTGTTCTATGGGATCTCTGTCACATTCTCTCCTTGCATCTTATCCTTGTTGTCCAAGACGTGTAAGTTACCAAAGTTACGAAGGTAAAAAAATTTGAAGAAAAAAATGTTAATTCCATTAATCATGATGAGAAACTGTTGGACATTGCAAAAGCTTGCACCATACAAATCACTGCTGTTAAGTTTGTATTCACAAGTGCTCTAGAGGTCTACAACATCAATGTTTTGCCAAATCACAACACTAATTATGATCAACACTTTACATGACTTGTTAGTTAATATTATAATCTGGCAAAACATTGATGTTGTAATCCTTTAGAGCATTTGTGAATACAAACTTGGCAACAATGATTTACATTATGCAATCTTTCGCAATGTCCAACAACTCCTTGTGATGATCAATGGAATCAGCATTTTTCTCTTTATAATTTTTTACCTTGGTAACTTTGGTAATTTGCACATCTTGAACAAGGATGGGATGTGACGCAAAAGTGTCACAAAGATCCCACAAAACGTTTTGGAGTAAGTCCATTAATTAAGTTTTCTTGAGCTTGTTTCGTCATATTCGCTTAGCAGCAAAGTGACAAGATGTTCAACCTCCTCTTGGGCTGAAAGTGAGAGAGAGAGAAAAAAAAGAGTTCCATCAATCTATTACAATGCAAGTGAAACAAAGTAACACACCAGATCGATTGGGACATCCCACTACCGCAACCAACTGGAGCAGATCAAAACTCACTACTGTTATCAACAACCAGTTTGTCGAAAACGGCCGCCACCACAACCATAATGGATTTGTCGTCGTCTCTCAAGGGATTATGGAATGCTGATCTGTCGAAAAGCAACACAGAGATCGGCCTTTCTGCGCACAGGACAGATGGATTAGACAGAAATCGGCCTTTCTGCACACAGGACAGATAGATTAGACAGAAATATTGAATGAGAAAGAAGATCAAGAACACAAAATATTTTCCAAACCCTCGATCGAGATGAAAGAACACAGTGAAATATCACACCCTCAGCTTGGAGAGCATCTGCCACGCCTCGAGATAGCTGTGAAGACTCGCCTCAAAAGCTGTGGCATCCAGCTGCGTATTTGAATTGGGCAGCCGCGACGCCACAGTAGTCACCACAAGTTGCCACCCGCATAGCTCCGATCCAAGAAGCAGTGCTGCCGCTTCCTCCTTGAAAGCAATCCGTGCATCGACAGACGGAGATGATGGCGATCTATCCACTACCTTGACGAGCCTCTGGAATCGGGCACGCGCAAGATCTGGGAGCTCTAGACTTTAGATTAAAAGGTTGGCATTAAAACTCGAATCACGGTCTTTCCTTTATGTCGTCGGACGGCCCGATATGGTATTTTGGTGGATCAACGGCTGACATGAAGTACTCTGTATGTAATAATTTTCCCCTTTGCCCAAGCCAAATCCCATGCCCTAAACACAAGGAAAGTGGTGGCGGTACTCCCACATCTCCCATACATCTCGACAAGGAGATTCCCGGGTTTCTAGCAGCAACCTTCGATCCCTTAACGGGCTGTGGCTTGCCCATTAACTTGATCCAGCCGTTGGCAGCCATCGGATTGAGTCAGGTTCTCTGCGAAAATTTTACTGTTGTCAGCCACATTCTGGAGAACGTGGCTGACAGCTACCAGGTTCTGGAGAACATGGCTGCTGTCATCTAGGTTCTAGAGAACTTGGCTCTCAGATCAAATGAAGAAGGAGTTCCTGGGTAGGGCGAGCATGTTCCCGCCCAGAACGGGCGAGCCAGGCATTAGCCTGGCGAGCATGTTCTGGAGGGAATGTGCGAGCCTGTGCCGGGAACGGCCTTAACAGGCTGTGGCAAGACCATTAACAGACACATGAAATAACGTTATTCGAGGATGAGAGTGGTCGAATGAACATAGAACACGTGGCTAAAAGTTATATATAACATGTTTTCTAGGGTTTTAGGGTTTTTTGTGCCGATGCCGTGAGGCTGTTGGATTCTCTCGGAAGTGGCAGCGGCAGCGGCAAGGCAGAAGCAGTAGTGGCAAGGCGTCAGCAGCAGCGGCAGGGTGGCAGCAGCTTGCCAAGGTCAGATCTGAGGCATAGCAACTAGATTGATCCAGATCTACTACTTGTCCATGTGTTTCAGGAATTTTGCAGCGGTTTCTTATGGTGCTCAAGGCAGCAGGAGCTTGTGTGTGTCGAGAGTAGCTTGAGAGCTGATAATCCCAGTTTGCCCTCATTTCCTGGTTTTCTCTGGATTTCATAGTTTTTCCTTCTCAATCCTCTTGATTTTGTCTATCTATAGATGGATCCTCCTTCATTTGATCTAGGATTGTCCTAGAATGCCGTTGATCTTGTTCTCTAGAACCTGGATGACAGCAGCCACGTTCTCCAGAATCTGGTAGCTGTTAGCCATGTTCTCCAGAACTTGGTAGCTGTCAGCCACATTCTCTAGAATGTGGCTGACAATAGTAAAATTCTTGTAGAGAACCTAACTCGTGTGAGACACAAAATCCCTAGGCCCCAAAGTGGAGCTGGAAGGGTGCCACGTGGTAGTGGCCGAAGCGAAAGCCAAACGAGCGTAACACGTTTGGACCAAAAGCTCCGACTTGAAAAGTCAAGAGCGGGAGTGGAACTCCCAACGAAGTGCTCGAGGAACGAGCACGAAGCGAGCAAAAAGCGAGGCTCCAAAAAGGGACCCAAAAGGACCAACACATGACACGTGGAAGTGTCCGAGATGGACTCGAGTTGGAGTCCGAAGTGGAGTCCGAGATGGACCCAAGTTGGAGTCCGACGTGGAGTCCGAGATGGACCCGAGTTGGAGTCCGACGTGGAGGCCGAGATGGACCCGAGTTGGAGTCCGAAGAGGAGTCCGACATGGACCCGAGTTGGAGTCCGAGATGGAGTCCGAGATGGAGTCCGAGGTGGACCCGAGATGGACCCGAGATGGAGTCCGAGATGGACCCGAGATGGAGTCCGAGATGGACCCGAGATGGAGTCCGAGATGGAGTCCGAGATGGAGTCCGAGGTGGACCCGAGATGGACCCGAAATGGAGTCCGAGATGGAGTCCGAGACGGACCCGAGATGGAGTCCGAGATGGAGTCCGAAGTCGAGACCGGGACCAAGACCGAGACCGGGACCGAGACCGAGACCGAGATCGGGACCGAGACCGAGACCGAGACTGAGGTCGAGGCCGAGTCCGAGTCCGAGTCCGAATCCGAGTCCGAGTCCGAGTCCGAGTCCGAGTCCGAGTCCGAGTTCGAAGCCTGAGAGGGTGAAAGCCCAAAGCGTTCGTCTCCCAGACCCTGGGGGGTTTGGTGAGCTCCAAAAGTATAGTAGGGGGAGGACTGCAGTGGAGCCAGTTTGGCCAGGAAAGGCCAGTTTGGCCCAGGAAGGCCGGACCCAGTGTTGGGTGATGAGCTGCCCACTGGGAAGTCCAAGACTAGAGTGAACACAGACCGACAAGCGGGGTAGCTTGGTGAAGTGTTCAAGAGCCGGCTCTAGTTCCCCCGGGAGATCGACTGGCCGATGCTCCCAGTCCAAGTGTGGGTGGCACTACCTACTTGGATACCTGGTGTGGCTCAATGGAACCCGCTCTAAGCCCATGGCTAGAGCACCCAAGGGCAGAACGCGAGGAGAGTACCCAGGTGGCTCGCGTAAGGCCACGGTGTTCCGAAATGTTGTCCCAAAGGCCCAGACTGTGGAAAGGAAGAGGAGCAGTCCTCTGGGGTAGTGACCAAGGACACAGTCATGTGGTGAGGAAGTCCCAGAGGACCGTGGGACTTAGTGGTCGGGCCTGTGGGTCTCGATCCAGTGGCAGTGTTGGCAAACACGGCCAAGGGCAGAAAGGGACTTAGTGGGGACTGACAGAGGGATATTGGGGAAGGCTATTCCCCTTGTCGGTGGGCATCCTAAGGATGCTAAGGAGTGGATCTGAGATGACCACTCACGGA